TCGGTCCCCCGTTCAGAGGTGGGACCCAACCCGTTCCTCACACTGGTTTTCAGCCAGGTTGGTGCCTGCAGAAAATTACAGAGCATTAACCTACTGGACTCTAAACTTAAATTTGCAAGTATGGGGGTGCCTCTAATGGTACGCTTCAAGGTCCACACAGCAAAAAAGCATCTATAGTTTTCCCAAGTTGAACAGCCTGGAAAAAAATCTGTTCTTTCAAATCTCCAGTGATGGATATTCCCAGCCTCCCTCCCCAAGCTGTGTCAGGGGTTCACCCTGCTTACTCTCAGCTACTTTTCCTGCTGTCTAGCCTGTGTGTCCCTTGCTTCCATCTAATTCTATTGCTTTTTGCCTTACAGGCCATGCTCTTGAGAAGAGCTATGGAAACAGTTTGTTCTTTTCCTTGCTGCAGCCCTTTTACATAATTAAAGACTGTTGTCAGGTCTCTTCTGCATCCTTTTTTAAACAAATACAAAGCCTTCCACCAAGGGAGATTTTTAGCCCTTGTCATGTTCTTGCTGTTTTCTGATGAGTCTGTCTTTTTCTTGAATCCAGAATTACAGAAACCAAAATTGGGAGAGGTATTTTTGCTGTGATCTTGCCAGCTTCAAGTGGAAGGATTGTAAACAATACAAGGTTTTGTATACTCCATACGCTGTTTTTTCACAATAGCATACGTGCTGCCTCCAGACCAGTTTGTAACTGCGTCCTCCCAGGTCCTCTTTGGTAGAGCTACTACCAGGGCAGTAATTTCTCATTCTCTGTCTGTACTGTAGTTCTTGCCCTTCTTTAACAGTTTCAGAAAATCCAGACTATTAAAATACCAGAGCACACATTTTTCACAAAGCTTTGTGATAGAAATCTTTTCTGTACGTGGTGGGGTCGCAGAACATCATCTATCATTCATGACTCTGCTTATTTCTGAATCGGACATAGGAAGAATAGCCCATCAGCAGGCATTCTCCTAAATATTAAATATCCTCCTAAATACTATCACAGTCTCCTCATCTTCATGATAGAAGCAGTAACTAGCACTAGCAAGAACACAAATGTAAAGAATGCATCTAGTGCCAATGTGTTTCAGAATGTAGGCTTTCCCTTGTGTTCCCAAATCTGCATGGATTGTTACAGAAAAGTGTGTTTTCATCATGCATTAATGTGAATAGTCACCGAAATATTTATATCAACTTTGCTAGCTTTAACTCAGTTTTTGTCTGAATTGGCCCTCCTCTCTGCTCATTCTGCTGCTCCCATTTCCATTCTACCATCGTCATTCGTGCTCGTGCTCCATCTTCCCCTCCTCCAACATCTGTGGGCTTTCCGGTTTTCTGCAGCGTTAGTTTGCCATTGCTGTTCAGTTTTCCTTGATCTTTCCAGCAGTAAAACACTCGATAGAGAAAGAGCTCATTCCTTTCTGAACAGAGTCAGAGTATCATTATTGGGACCTGGAAAAAAAGAATCCCCAGGTGAGCAAAACACTCCATGTTGGCATCCAGTCCCAGCTGGTTCTGTCTTCCACGGGGATGTTGCTCCTTCCTCCAGAGAAATTTTAAGCCCCTTTATTGATATCCTGGCTGGGGAGCTACACGTTGTGCTGCTCAGAAACCCTTTTAGCTACCTTGTCTTAACGTGGTTGTGTCGCCATCTCCTTCCCGGCTGCGCTGGAAGCAGTGCCCACCCAGCCGTGCCAGATAACTGCCTAAAGAACCCTGGGGTTTGGGTTTTTTCCCAGCTCCCAGAAGCTTTGGCCACACTGAAAGTTAATTGTTTTTTCCTTAGTAACATTTTTATTGCAAGGAGATCTGACAGTGTTGTATAGGTGGAACTGGAGAGAAGTTCCTCCTGTTCCATACAGGTTCTCACTCTGCTCTATAATCACTCAAAACGTATATCTGAGCGCCTTCCAGAAGTGCATTTAAGCATATGACTAACATCTGTCAAGCAGCAGTTGCTCTTTCTTCCCTCCTCTTCCTCGGGGAAAGGCTGAATGTGCCAGTCCTGGTGTTTTTAACATAAATTAATTATCCCTGCTGTTCTGTGTTAACACTGTAAAGGGTGAGCTGAAGCATGGTGTGTGCTGGCAGCAGCAGGCCCTGACGGCTTCGCAGCACGGGAGCAAACCAGAGGGCTCACGAGGGAAAAAGTCCGGCGTTTTGATCGCTCCCACCGCTTCCCTCGGCAACTGGCGTGGAACAGGACCCGGTTGGTCTCTGGAAGTTGCCCTCTGACCGTTGCTGCTTTGCAAATTGTCATTTTTTGCTTTGAGCATAGCGGGGAGGAGTTTGCTGTGCTGCTGCACGGTTGGGAACTACCTGATGTAGAAAGGCTGTTTCTCCTCCGGGAAGCTCGCAGCGGGGATCCAAGGCTGGAGACAGCACGTTGGTTCAGGCAGAGGAGAGGTGACAGAGCAATACTCTACATTAAATGAAACTCAGTGTGCAGTCAACAGATGTATTTCTGTTTGGGATGCATTCACAATAGCTGCTTTTTCTTTTCTTCCAGGTTTTTGAACACTCCCAAGATCTTTATAGCGCTGGTCAGAACAGATATTTGCAGAGGTACTGAGCTGCCTCCGAGGACAGTCTCTTTGCCGAGACACTGATAAACTCTGAAAAGAGTTTGAAAACTATAGCATTGTACTGGTGCCACTTTTAAAAGAGTTTTTCCCAGCTAGGCATCGCAGCAGGGATGAGCAGAGGCCGTTGACAGCCAAGAACAGAGGGCAAGGCTTTGATTCAGTTCTTTGCGGTAGTATTTATCCTAGAGCCTATAACTCACTTAATGCCTTTCATGGCAGGTTCAGGGTTATACTAGTGTGCCAGTGTCTAGTAGTTAGTCCTTCAATCCGGGAGGGATTTTGGGGCAGACTGCTGTGTTTCTCTGAGCTCCGATGCTTTTGCAAATTCACAATGGTAAATACCAGGGGAAGAACTAAACCCGAGGGCCAGCCCCAGGAGTTTGTTTGACTAAACTGTTCATGTGTTTCTAGCTGGTAAAAGCTCTCTGGCAAGGGGATTTTGTCAGCTGGTGTCAGTTTAACATGTCCATCTCCCATTCCATCCCTAATCATCAAAATCATTTTACTTTCAAGTCCATTAAAGCTGTATTGTGTCTCCTGTTGATGTGATCACTTTCCTTTCTCTCTGAGATATAAAAGGCATTGTCAGACCCTTCCCGAAGATGGTGTGCACATCACTGTAGTTAGTGGTGAAGTTTTTCAATTTAGGCATTTTTGATAATCCTGGAAAAATTAAGGAAATTGTTTTTTGGCTCAAACACTTAGAAAGCTGAGAATAGGCACTGTGTTTCACAAAGCGAACCAAACCTCGTGCCTCTTATCTCAGAGTGTATCCTTTAAACTGGCATCTTATTTCTTGCTCCGTCTGCTTGCAAATCATCAAGGACACAAAACCAGCATGGATAGCAACCCCTGTAGATGTTTATATGGCTCAATGTATAGGGACATTTTCCTCTTGCTTTGCTCTCAAGGCCTAGCCCTGGTTGTGCTGTTCCTTTTCCCTGTTTGACCACTAAGAGTGTCTATCAGTCCAGTTCATGTCTTGGGGGTGACCTGGCCTGAGAGCCCTAAATCAGGCTTTTCCTCAGAAGTTCACCACCTTTTTTTAAGCCCTTATGAACCTCCCTGGAAATGTTGTGCAAAGCCCAGATGTGCCTCAGTTCCCTCCCTCCCGGTGCATTTGCTAACGGCTGCAACCGATATAGGCCAAAAAGATGCGCAGCTGGTTATATTTTTCCCAGGCAGTCGTTTTCCTCTGTGTCTGTTTTGGTATGCTTTGGCCTTAACCGTTCCAGGGACCACAGGCATCCTGTTCTGCAGCTCTCCTCTGCTTCTGCAGCCGCTGCCTGGACGGTGGGGCTCATCACAGCTCCGTGCTGCGCCTGGATCCCTTGTTGTGTGTAACCTTAGTTTTGCTTCTTTGAACGTAGAAGTAGGCTGCAGTCTGGAAGGACGTGTCTTGAGCTAAACGCTGCCAGGATTTCATCCTCCCCGGGTCATCTAAATTGGTTGCAGAATAATAAGAGTCGCTTTTTTCTGCATGCGTAACAGCAAGGCGCTTCCACATCGGTTTGGGAATTGACCCAAGGGTTTGATGTGGGTTAGTAAAGTCAAGTATGTGGGATGAGCATACCCACAGCAAAGTAGGTATGAAGATGTGGAGCCGTGCCTCTGCCAAGGCTCCCATCTACTCTCCTACGGTCCTGTGGTGGCTCCGGTCGCTGCAGTGGGTGACAATGCAGGGAGCCACCAAGACCAGGGACCATCAGAGCCTGCACATGTATTGCATATCACAGTATGGCTGCAGAGGGAAGGCATAAACAGCTTTATCCTGGATACCGCAGGAGCCCAACTATTTTAGCCTTCCTTTTCTGCCTCGTGGGACTTCTAACTCGTGCCTGGGGCTCAAGTAAGGCAGCCGCTCTGGAGCGCATACGGACATTTCTGCCCTGGGGTCGGCGTGTGCCAGCATGCAGTCTGCATGGAAGATTGCTGCATCTCTGTCCCCGCGCTCGGGAACTGCATTTTGTGCTTGTTCCGGCACAGTCATCCCTCAGCCCTGTCAGGAGGTGACCCCTTGGGTTAACAAGCGACAAGTTCCTTCTAGCTATCTTATTGAAAAAAAAAAAAAAAAAAAAAAAAAAAAAAAGAAGAGGGAGGTGCTGGAGTCACCTGATGAACATCTTCACAGATGCTGACAGCTTTTAACTGCGGGTTATCTTGAAGGCAGACTACAGAGACTTTTTTTTGTAAAACAGTTTAAAACTGCCAGTTTATTTGGCAGTGCGTGTTTTGTGCTGATAGGTGTGCATCCCCAAGAAAACCCACAGTCCAGAAGGTAGGGCAAAGGTGATGCCCACTTACTCCTCCCGGCAGCAGCAAACTGTAGTTTAATCTGTTGCTTTTCTCACATCTTTTCTGCTTGTAGAAGACACCCTCTAAAGTAGGGATAACATCCCTAAACGTGCTTATCCCTTTTTAGACAACCCACAGCCTCACAAGGTTTCAACAGCAGCCCACGGTTTCTGAAGGCTTCTTGCCATTTCCACCATGGTCCACGAACAGGAAGGGACTGCAACTCCAAACCTGGCAAAGATGCAGTTGCTTTTGCTGGCTAACCTATCAAGAAGAAGATGTCCCTCCCAAAGTATTTCTGCAAGCTGCCCCAAAGAGGAGCAGAAAGGTAGAAGGGCAAACTCTTGAGATGTGAACCAAGAGGTAACTCAGCCATGGCTTGGACTTTGCGGGCTGTTTTGGAGAGCACGTCAGCTCTCTGGGGTGCACTGGTCTGCCACCCTTGTTGTTTCTCTCCAAATCTCCTCCTGAGGTAGGCTCTGAAGTGCCCTCCTGCAGAGATGCAGCCTTTTTGAGCCCCTCTGTGCCACAGAACGAGAAGGAGAAAACACCAACTGGAAGATCCTCTTAACTTCCTCGCCTTCTCGGGCTCTCCACAAAGTGAAGCTTATCCTCCACACTATAGCCCATGCGCTGTTGCAGTAATCCCTAGAGGTGCTCTCTCTGGTTGTTCAAAACCTACGCCGACCTCTTCCTCTCAGCAAGGCTCTGAAAAAGGGAACAAGCAAGAGGCTAAGCCATGGGCATTTTTCACTTGCCTCAGCCTAAACACCAGCCTCCTCCAGGCTTTCAGTCTTCCAAAAGCTTCCCACCTTTCTAGCCAAGCAGTTTGTTTTCTAGAAGAAAAATTGGTACTTTTGTGCTAGCAATAGCCGGAGTCCTCTTTTACTAGTGAAGGCACTTTCTCCCTCTCCTTTGAATTTGGTATGAATGCAGAAACTACTGTGAAATAAGTGGGGTAATATCAGGAAAGGGGAGATCAGAACAGAGCATTCCTCTGGATAGGGTTTGATGCAATTTGAAGCCGCCTGTAGAAGATTGGCTGGAAGGTAAACTGATTTGGGCTAAAAAAAGCTGGTGCTGTTAAACTCTGTTACTGAATCTTTAGTAGATGGTCCAAAATAGCTTTTTTGTGACCCCTGACATCTCGGAAGGATAACCGCATTTTTGATCTCAGATTGAAGGTGCAATTTGTTCTGGAAGAAACTTACGGTCTTTAGAAACCATCTCAGGATGGCGTTAACTGTCAAAAACATTGCACGGCGAGTTAAAGAAAACAAACCAAAAATCACACATCTGAATCAACACCAGGCGAGCGTCTGCGGAGCGTTGTCGCTGAGCTAACCAACCACGCTGATCGCGGGCTATGCATGAGCTGTAATCCACCTTTCTGCCTTCACGGCGGCTCAGAGCTTCCGATGAACACCCGCGTACCGTGAGGAGGGGTTGCGATTAGACGAGCAAGGAGCTCCTTTACTTGCAGCATCCTGCTTTGCACCTCAGCTCGATCCATTGGCTGTAGAGGTGTCGTGTCCCCCTCCCAAAGCGACAGCGGTCCCCGCCGATCTTCGCGTGCTGTGCCGGTGCGGCGGCGCCAGTGCAAGGTGGTCGATGCTGAGGTGGGCGTTGAGCTGGAGGGGTGTGTTTCAAGGGCAGTACTTGGTCACCAGCTGTTGTCTAGGATGCTGTGTCTTTTTGTACAGCAGGAAAAAAAAAAAAAAAAAAAAAAAAAAAAGATTTCTGGTTGAATTTCAAGTTAGGGGACTGTTTTCTGCCAAGCTACCCGCCCCCGCTGTCTCAACTGTACGTTATTCTCTTTTTCTTTCCACTGGTCCTGTTATGCACCGCTCAACAGCTGCTGCATTTAATCCCAGAAGCTGTAGTTGGTAGCGAGCAAAGTGATCTCCATATAACCTCTATCATAGTCATAAGTGTGCATTATGAAGCTTAACCGATGGTAATAAAATGTTTTGCTTTCAACATGCGGTCCCAGTGGTCCAATGTTCCCGTCTTCAGGCACCGTCATTACAGCAGGGCAATGTATTGGAGTTTTTCTGCTGCCCCCCAGGAACGCGTCTCGTAATGCTGGATGCAGGCATCGTCAACGTCTAGCAACACGTGTGGATACCCGGCGAGGAGAGACGGGGAACACCGAGCAGAGCCCTTTCCGCAGGAACGAGTTGGTGGTGCTGGCATCCTCAGGTAGAAGCAAGCAGCTGTGGTCGCGAGGTCCCCGCGAATAAATCTGTCACGTACACGTTGCTCCCCTGGCTGCATTTGCTCTGATGGAGACTGTGTCTGGACGGTCAAGGAAAAACTGCTGCAACGGGAGAGCCTGCCGAGGCGCTTGGTGTCTTGCTTGGCTGTGACCCAAACTGCGGGTTCACGTCTCCGTGAGATAGTCTCGCAGTGCAATCTTGTGTTAGAGCCTCTTCAGAGGCTACGATGGTACGTGAGGGAACAGAAACAGATTGCATGCCTGCTACTTGGGGTTTTTTTCCATCCCTTTCACAACTACTCCGCAGGTTCATGGCTTTAGAGATCGTTTTTTTCTTTCCTGTTTACAAAAAAGGGCGTTTTTATGTCATCCTGCACGATGGATATTTTTGTGCAGGAGGGGAAAAAGTGCTTCTCGGTCACGTGTAAGCAACCATACAGAATGCAGAAAGTCTGCATTTGGAATTTCATTTTGGTTTACGCATCACCGATGCTTTTACTGAAAGCATCTTTTAACATTAATTGAAGGGTCATATGATTTTCCTTCTCTAAGCCAAAAGCAGGAATTTCAAAGCCGGGATCTCCAAACGTCATTTCTGTGGTACGATGGGTTGCATTAGCCCTACAGCTGGTATTGGTTGAACAGGATGCAGTTTCCCATACGTGAAGTTTGTAGCATTTAGTTTCAAACCAGAACTTCCCAGGCAGACCACCCCCAGAACGGTAGCAGTATGTATCTGAATATATAGCTTTTTCAGGCAACGATAACACAGCCTTTTTCTGGAGATTGCCATTTTGTAAATAAGCTGCTTCTTGAGCAGCATGGCTAGGACTACAAAAGATGGATGATTATTTCTTCCTGGAATCGGTCTTCTGCTGCAGGATCTGGTTTTTGTTGCGATAATTAGCATAGAATTAAAAATGGCCCTGCATCTTCAGTTCGCATTACGCCTCTGATACCGAGCAATCTGGGATCACATTTTACTCAGCAATAGGCTGTGTCTGGGAATCACTTTATTCACCGCTGAAATTCAGCATTTAATTGTGGTGCACAGATATCTGCAGGCTTCAACATAGCAAAAGCCTCCACCTCCAAAAATAAAACATTGCTTCTAATAAACTTTCAAATGAGTTGTTTTTTGGAGACTGGAAAAGTTGCCAAGAATATTTAGATTAAAAGCTAGCGTGCTGGCTGAAGTAGGATTTTACAAATGCCTTTAAAATCCAGAGCTCAGGCTGAAGGTGAGGTCACGGGCTAGGACGCAGCCTTTTCTCCCAGAAAAACTGTAATATCTTTTCTTTTTAAAAATTTATCAGGGCTGCCAGTCCAGGTGGAGGCAAATTTGCAGGGTGTCTCAGATGTGGCCAATGGTGTGTCCTTGGGACAAACTAAAGCAGCAAAAATACAGCGCGATGTGAAAACTTCCTTGTGAGAGCAGTGCTGGAAATTACTGTGCAATCTGACACAGTGTCCTAGCATTAGATTTATTATCCACTTCCAAATCATCTGCCAAAAATCCTTACAATCGGAAAACCAGAAAGAACATGTTATAAAAAGGCCTGGAAAATGAGCAATTTTGGTATGGGAGTTTTCACACTGGTAAGTCTTCCGTGTTTGGGTTTGGTCTCAACGATGAGGTCAGTGGTACTTGAACCAAATGTTATCCCGACGCCTGCATATAGGAGATGGTGATATTTGCCAGTCTTGCAAGGTCAGCCTCGAATACGGTCCTGCAAGATGCTTCTTCGCCCAGCGTAATGCTCAACGCTTGCTTTTCGTCCTGCAAGAGTTCACACCTTCACTCGGTCCTCGCTGGGCGGCAGGGTCGTGGCCGCGTACACGCGCTGGTGCACTTGCCCCAGACCTCGCTGGATATATAATTTCAGCAGTTTTCTTACCTGGATTGTGGACTGAGATGGTTGCATTTCCCTACCGTACGCCTGCAGAAATCACAAGCCCTCCTCGCTGCGGGGTGCTGCCAATCTCACACCGCCCTTCTCCAGCTCCCACGTCTTTTCCAGGCTCCTTTCTTTACAGCTATATGTCTGCAAAGGTGGATCTACATCCATTTCCCCCTTGATTTTTCCTTGTTTAAACAGAGGTCTTTGTGGCAGTAGTGGAAATAAGTGACCTGGGTTTGTAACTCTCTTTTTTTCCCCTGGGGTATCAGTGTTACCTGCTTCTGAAAAACCATCTCCCTAGAGCTTGCTCTCTGATTAGGAAAATGTCTGCACCTGTACCTGAAGCATACCCAACATACCCTGCCAACTGCAGCAAGCCGATACTTTTGTTTTAAAAAGAGCTTTCTCCATAAAAAAAAGATTTGTACCCAGCTCAGGCACACCAGATGCTGGACGGCCAGATGTTGCCTCAAACAACACTTGGAAGGGCTGACAGCAATGGATGCGGGGCCTGGAGAGCCACTTACGCCATTCAGTGACCTTTTTGGGGGGATGTCTACTGAAACATAGTGAGAATTGAAGGCCTGGTTTCCCCTTTTTCATTTGGCATTTTTGTTTGGGGAGAAAACACCGTTTCCGCAAGCGCTGAGCTCCTGAGGTGAGGGGCCTGAAGGTCCCAGCTTGCAAGGAGCCACTTCCAGCCCAGGGGCAAGGACTGGGACCAGCGAAGACCTTGGCGGGGAGATTTCCTGCACCCCGTTTCCAGTGAGCAGAGTCGTTGCTTTTCCAGCACGAGTATAAAGGTAGAGTTGGGCTTGCAGCTCGATACGAGGGAACGAAAAAGCAGATGTCAGCAGCTGGAGTAGGCAATGGGGCAGTCGGTGGGAAGTGTGTGTTTAAAGAGAGAAAGGGGAAGTGCCTGACGTCCGTTGGGATGAATTCTCCTTTTCCAGCCTCTTTCCAGGAGCATGCTGATACAAAGTCCTTCTCCAGAGCGTTTTCCTTTGTGTAAATGAAGACGGGACGTTAGGATCATCAGTGTTTACTAGACCGCCTTCATTGTCTTGTTCTTGCATTAATTGTCCTTTGACTGGTAGGGTGGTTAAGAGAAAAAAAGCCAGCTTAATGCATAGTCAGAAAGCTAAAAAAAAAAAAGCAAACCACAAATTATAGGTAAATAGGCTAACTGTAAGATAGCGTGTAAAAGGAGGCAGCTTGTGGCACGACTCCTCTGTAAAGTGCATGATAAGCATTGGCAAAGCTTGTTGCAGACACTGGGCAGGCTTTCCAGGGTTGCTTTTGCTAGACTTTGAGTATCATAGTTGCAAAGACTCGTAAATGTTCTGAGAGACTCTTGGTTTTGGGGTGTTTTTTTGGTTTTTTGGTTTTTTTTTTCTTTTTTTCGTAAGCTGTGACCACTTGCTTTCTGAATGGGTTTGTAGTGATGGAGTTAATGGAGCTGTTCTTTATCGTAACCTAAAAGGTGTCAGTCGTTTGCTCGTATGTGTTCACAAGCTGAGCCGTAGCATTATGCATCTCTCCGCAATGGTGTGATTTGAAGCACTTTTGGTGTGGCATGTGCAGTTGCAGTGCTGTCTGTTTTTAATTTCACCCCTGACTGTCCCCTGTGTTCTACCCGTGTTTTGGACACTGAACCAAACCGACTTTGAAACTAGCACTTTAAGTACTAGTAGCCACTTTGCTTCTGACTATATTGAGCACTGCACTTTTGTAAGTACTGTTAGCACTGAGTTTTGAACTGTTTATTTTCCCCGGTCTATTTAGCCTCTTAGGCACAGTGTTAATTTCTTAGGGGCCATCAGAAGATAATGTCGTGGTGTAAGTGACCACTGTCTGGTGCCTGACTTCCATTACATGTCCGTTAGCGATTTTATAAATTAGGGAACTCAACCCACCCAAGCTTATTTTACACAACAGAACGAACATCTAAATCACTGACATCCAGGCAGATGTGGTTGTTGTAAACTTTGAGGTCATCTGGAGACCCAAGCGCATGGCTTTTTAAAACACCAAAGATACAGAAGTCTCAAAAGGGATCGGGATGGTGCAAGATTGTCTAATTTACAGTTGGAATTGAGCAGACTGCAGGATGCAAAGCAGACCTGGAGTGAGAAGCGTAGGGCAGACTCTCTTGTTTTCAGTACGAGACCCCGGTCTGCGTTAGCAGGGTGAGTCCATGGGACAGAGAAGTTAAAACCAGTCTGAGATGCTGGTATCAATAAAGACGGCGCTCAAGCCATTGCAATAAAAGCCATCACTGTGCCTGTACTGAAAGTGCTGTTGAGATTGATTGTGGGCTTAAACTACAAAACGTATTTTTAAGTAAAAAGACTTAACAGATGATTTAGAAGATGGAGCATAATAACCATGGGGTTTGCTGTTGAATTTGAGAAGCGGTGTTAGGAGTTGATCAGGTCTTGTGTTGGGAGACAGCTCAGATGTGCATCGCTATACTTGTTAAATTCCTGTGGTATTTCAGTACAGATGGTCAGGGACCAGAGCTCCCTTACCAGAAAGGAATCAGTAGGGTAGAGTTTGTTGTAAACATAGTCATAAATCTCTAGGATTTGAAAGGGGATGATGATCTCTGGGATGCAGAATAATCTGAGTTTTGATATCCCAGACGGTCCACTCTCAACCAGCTGATGCTGTTTTGCTTCTTTAAAAGCCCTCGTGGGTTTTCCATAGTGGCAAATAAATCACGGTGGTCGTGAGAGTGCTATGTTTGCTTCACGATGGGGTACCTGCACTCGGGACTCCTGTTCATCCTTGTTGACGAGTCGATAGTTGATTCGAGTCCTTCTCTGGCAATACTCCTTGATGGGAGTTTCTCCCCGGTGATGCCTGATGGATAAACCCCGCCATTACAGTACAATCAGTTTGAATGGAAAGAAGTGAATTAGGTCATCTCCTTCACTGCTAGCAAGCAGACATGATGGAAATAACCTTCAGCCACAAAAAAAATAGTTGTCTTGGGTTTGCTTGTTGCAGCAGATGAAGTATTTTTCTTGACCAACTCCAGTTTTGGTGGCTGGCTTTGCTTGGGTTCAATTCAGGCTTCCTTCTTCAGTAGACCTTCATGGGTTTCGGTATTCAGTGGGAACTGAAGGTGGTTAAAAAACACAGACCTTGAGCAGCCTGAAGTATTGTGCTCTTATATCCTTTATTGTTGGATTTTAAAAATGGAAATGTAAATAGAATCCACATTTTTCCTTTCTTTTTCTTTCTCCCCCCAGCCAAATTAACCCTGCAAATCTAGCTTTAAAGAAATAGCACCTAGTGATGTTGCTGCTATATCTGAGCCCCCCAAAACGATAGCAGCTAAGGGAACAGCCTCTTCAGAAAGCACCTCGGTGACTCAGAGGCTACATCCCGCTCGCTGTCACGAGGATATAGGCGAACCCTTTGGAAAATTCACACACACACACACACACCCCCAGCAAGCTCACCGGTTTCCTCGAGTCCTTGGAAATTAAGCTCGTGAGAATGGGGGACATGGAACAGGTCTTTTATTTCCCACCCCCCCTCCCCCCCCTGCGCGTGTAGCTTTTTGCCCCTTGAAGTTGGCATCTTGCCTTTTGGGAAGGTAAAAATAAGCATTTTCTCCTGCACGGCACACGTATGCAAAGCCTAGCACAGCACCTCTCGCTATGGAAGGACCTTTTAGGCAGAAAAAAGCTCTTGTAGGGATTTTTAGTTATTTGGGTTTTAAGATAGCTCGTGGGAAACGCATTGTAACGATGCACAGGCGATATTTTACTGACTTTTTTTCTCCAAGAGAGACTTTTTAATTTGCTTCAATAGTTTAGTGTTCATTTCCTTCAAAGTCTTTTTGGACCCATGCAAATGCCCTTGAAATGAGTCAAGTTTATCAAAACAAATTGTGAAATTGTGCATTGCAGGAAGCAGTCTCGAAATGCACACACACCCATGCACCTATCCGCGTGTACGCGCATGTGTGTGTGTGTGGACGTATAGATATATTATTTCCCCAATGGTTCCTTTTTTTTTTTTTTTTTTTTTTTCTTGGGTTGGATTGGTTTTTAGGTTTGTTTCCCCCTACTCCCCAGGATATTAACCAAAAGGTGTTTTAAAGTCATGGCATGAAAACTCCTAAATGTAAATCTGAGTACCTTGTGATGCTAATTAACAGGTTTTTCTGAAACTTTATGTGATGCTTAATATTTTTCTTAGGAAGTTTTGTTTAATGTTAGATCATTGTTCTGAAGGATGTTGGTCCTACTGGCATTAAACTAATGGAAATAAAATGCATGTGTTACAAGTGTAGAAACGGTGAAGAATTAAGTGTGAACTTACTGTACGATACTGATTCTGTTTTCAAACAATCTGTTTTGCTGTTCAATAGTTGACATATGGAAATGCCAATGTACTGTAATTTAGCACTTTTCCAATGGACCCTGTTCTCACTACGCTCGAGGGAAGAAGTAGGTTTGGTTTTGGGGCCATCTGGACTCGACCTCTTGACCCTTTCTGCGTGTTTTGGCACCAGAACTGGCCAGGGGGAAACTCAAATTTGAGGTTTTCTCATCGGTGGGGCGGAGGGGCGGTGGTTCTCCATTTCCCTGGCCAAACCAGGACAATTTGGGTGAAGAGCTCTCTGCGGGTGGATGGACTGGCGGCATCCCGGTCCCCCCAGCACATCCCCCCAGGAGCCAAGGCTGGGGACAGGCTGTCCGAGCTGGGGTGGGATGGAGGCATGTCTGAAAAGCAGCCGAAGCAATCCGCAGACCCTGAAATGAAAAGGCAGAAGGGTTAAACTACCAGCCACCTCCCTCTGGCCGAAGCCTCCTTTCCTAGTGTTAACAGGGTGCAAAGTGTTATTTGTCATGTACTGTACTGAAAGGGTTAATTGATCAGTGACTGTATTGTACTGTATGAAAACTCATGAATTGCCTTGTATTGTTTCTAATGGACTGTCCCATGTCCCCCCCACCGCCCATTCCCAACCTATCCCCAGGTTTTCCAAATGACGCATGTGATCAGTTAGGTCCTCCAAACTCTCTGGTGCTAACTCTTCCGTATCCGATGGTGCTTCTGCGGACGCTAACTGATGACATGCCGATCCAGAGCTTGAAGTTCACAACGTCCTTCTTGTCTGTTTGTATGAAGTCGACACTCACACACACGCTCACGAAGAAAAATTTAAAAAAAAAAAAAAAAAAAAAAAAAAAAAAGGATGAGAAAAAAAAAAAAAAAGATAAACTTGAATTTGTTTCAAAAGCATCATTGACAATCTAATGTTTTCTATGTCTGCTTTTATTTGGGATGGCTTTTCTAGAAAGCAGCACGCCAGCACCTTCACGCCAGGAGGGGATTTCGTCCCGTTCACGCTGCGGCGGCTTCTCCGGCATCCGAGGTGAGCTGCTTCCTCGCTGGCTTTTCAGGCTCGGCCACGGGGGGGTCGATCCATCAGGAGCCAGCGAGGAAGAGGAGGTGCAGGTGCCTTCCAAGATGCCTGACTCTAAAAAGCAGCCGGCATCCCCGTGACCGCCCCATCCGTGCGTCGGTGGTAGGTGGGCACCGAGCATTGCGGAGGAGAGGAACCTGCCCCTTGCTTTGTGGCAAAAAATTCTCTTTTTATGAGAATGAAGGCAGAAACCTGGAGTCAAAGGGAGCCGGAGCTCCCAAAGGCACCTCGATCTCCTCCCGGCATCGCTCATCTCTGCTGGCAGGGGAGCCGCCTCCCAAGCCTGGGGTTTTGCAGGTGACACACGCCTCGGATGGCGTGAACAGACCCATCCCCTCCCAACCTCCCCCCCCCCGCAACAACGCGAGCTGCTTTTTGGACAAAATAAAATCTGACTATATTTTATATCGATTTGAAAACAAAGTCTGATATTTACCCCTGTTCTCAACTGAATTTGCATATTGTTGTTTGCCACGATATTTGTTCTGTCTAAAAATAAATTTGCTTACTTGTGTAGTCTTAACTGTCTGCTCTGATTCTTATAATCAGATTTATTGCCCCTCCAAGGTGCCTGCACAGCGGCTCTCTTTTGTGTGCTTCCCATGAAGGCGAGAAGGAAATCTGTCTGCCTGGGAGGGGAAATCATTTCAGCCAAGACTCAGACTATAAATGTTTCTCTCTCGGTTATCTTGCGTTCATCTCCCCAAGGCTTCTCAATTTGACGCCCTTTTTTTTTTTTCAAGTTTTTCATCATCAGACCCTTCTATCCGGTAAGTGTGCGACAGAGGAATGGCCGTGCTTCAGCTCTCTTAATTTAAGAGATTAAATTATTGCTGGCGCATTTCTTGAGGGTAAGTCATTCCCGAAGGCGGTATTTTGCATTCGAGAATGAGGGGATTTATGGCTGTGAGCTCGCTGAAAGCATCAAGCGGCCGAAAGCTGTGGACATTGGCTTCTGACACCGGTTCGGTCTTACGGCACACTGTGTTAGTGTGCAGCTGGCATCAGCCGCTGGAGACGTCGCGGCGGAAGGCAGTGCCCTCAAAAGGCTGGAAAACCGATTTGCACTTGCGTTTCCAGGGACGTAATCAAATCAGCCAGCGGGTTCAATAAAAGGGACAAGCAAACATGCCAGATTTGCGTGCGTTTGCAAACAAAACCTGTTGCAAGACTCTCAGGTTTTAAGGTTTTTTCCCCCACCACCGCCCCCCAAAAAAGCTATTTTTGGATGAAAAATGTTGCAGGCTGCTGCAGGAAGCCATTTTATATTCCCTTAAAGTCATATCTGTAGCTAAAAGGACACATTTCAGGGAAGTTCATGCGAGGGCTTGGGCTGTCACCCTTCCTTCCCTTTGGAAACTGTCCCTGTGCATACGTTATGGTCACAGAGTCCATTTTCAGTGATTTATCCCCCTCTCCAGGCACCGTCCGCCCTCTCCTTGCCTCTTTCCTCCCCCTCTGACCTATCTCCAGCTTTTTTTCCCAGTTTATCAAGGTTTTCTAGATGTTTCCTGCTGCTCCTCGCAGCACGAGCAGCACTGCCTGTGGTGACGGACGCTGGCACGAGAAGGAGGGAGCAGAGATGAATCCCGTGGGGAGAAGCTGGGAACAAGAAGCCCGGCTTCATGCAGGCTGCCGTCGGGTAAGTCTGCCTTCCATCCTTAGCAAAAATGAGGTGTCTGCACCCCAAAACGCTCCTTTGTCACCGTTTGGCCTCAAATCAGTGGGGCGGTGGGCTTTGCTCGGTCCCCGGGAGCGCTGAGCATCGGTGCATCGCGCCGAATTATGCAGATTTCCTTCCCCAGCTGATTTTTGGTGGCTGCACCCTTCCCCGGGGCAGCTCTGCTGGCGCTGCCTCTCCCACGGCCGTGCCACTGCTGTCATGAAAGCGGCAGGGCTCAGCGGCGGGTGCTGTGGGAGAGGTGCGGGGTGACAGGGGGGGTGCGGGTGATGGGGCCCCGGGATGATGCTGTGACGGTGGGCGGGGGGGCGGGGTGTGGGCAGGGGTGCGGGTGCACGTGGGATGACACAGATCCACGGAGGGTGCACGTGGAGACGGGGTGAGGGGGCGCAGGGGAGAATGAGGTGCCCCCCAGGGCGCTCGTGCAGCGTGGGGCGGGTGTCGGGGGGAAAGGGACAGTGTAGGGGCCGCATGCCAGTGCACGCCGGGGCAGGCAGGTCCTCATCCTTGTACCCCTGGGGCTCCCCCTGCACCCTCCCAGGGGGGGCAGGTGCCCTTTGGGGGGCACTCAGAGGAGGTCTGAGACCCACCCAGCGACCCCTCGCCCCGTGGAGACAGGGACAATGCCACCAGGAGCTGTGGTTTTGCAGGGCGGAATAACTTCCCTGCAGTAGAAGTTGCAGCAGGGGAAATTCAGATGAGCCCAAACAGGCAAAAAATAAAAAAGAAAATTCAAGTAGCTCCTTTTTTCCTTCATGCGTTTTATTCCCCCCATCAAGGGTGGCTACTAGAAGCCGTGTGGCGACTCTAGTCTGAGGACGTGTCCTGGTTTGTGCACCCTCAGCTGCTGACAGAAGAAAGTACTTTACTGATTTATTTCTTTCTTCACTGCGTGTTTTTTTTTCCTCTCTAAAACACAGGTGTACTGTTAGGAAGACGCCACTCTGGGAAGCAGTGGATAAGCCCAGGCAATGCCTTCCATAGGCGGTGGTGGCAGTAAGTAATTATTTCTGATTTGGGCTCCCTTAAGCTTTATATCGCACCCTAAAAGATCAAGTTTCAGTGGAAAAATCACAAAAATAAGAAAGCAAGGGTACCCAGTGAGTGGTTTGATGTTACAGAGCCAGCGTTTCTCTATTTTTTTTGTTGCCTTTCATGCCACTTTCACCAGCATTGCCTTTTCAGAAGGCTTTAGCGCAGAAATTATTAGATTTTAGAGAAAGTAGTGGAAAATCCACTTGCTCAGCGCTGAAAAGCACCGGGGGCTGGGGGCTGTCGCGCAGGGAGATCTCCAGCAAACAGGCCCCAAAAAAAGAAAGAAAACCAACCTGTCACCCTGAGCAAATCCCCTGTTTTTAGATGGGGAGATGGGAGCCTGGTGCCCCCTAAAAATCTGAAGCCAGAGCTGCTGGCCACCCTGGCTCCCAACGGAGATGGTCTCAGCAAAGGCAGCCTTCACCAAGACTTGTGCACCCACAGCCCCGAGGGCATCATTCTTTGGCCCTGAGCGTGTATTTTTTGAGGTGGCTAAAAGCCTTGTTGGGAGAGACAGATGGATATCTTCAGAAAAGGCTGCTGAGGAGGAAAAGAGCCAGCTTCTCTTTGAATTCAACCAGCTGTTTGAATTCAAGCTTCTCTTTGAATTCAAGCCCTGTCCAAACCCAGTGAGGCCTGTCCGCTTCAAACTGGGAAACCCCATAACAAGGTGGATGAGAAATGCCAACTCTTGGTGTCGAGGTGTTATGAAAGTCACGCCCAAGAAAATCCCGAGCTCACGTCGTGGTATTTGCTGCCCTGAGGGAAATGCTGAAAGAAGCCCACCCTGCAGATCTCAGGAAGCTGCAGATGCTAATGGGAAGATGTAGGGAGCATTCTGAGCCCCTGAAAAAAGTATTTTCAGATTTTGCAGGAGGAAGGTGTAGGCACCCTTTTGATCACTGATGAAAATGCACTGGGTAAAGAAAGGCAGGGTTAGTATCACCACTGTAAAGCCCTGAGCTGTTGAGACCCACGTTGAGGTAGTCGTGATGTGTGAAACAGTTTGCTTCCTACAGAATTCAATAGCAAAAAAGTAGGGGCAGAAAGATTTCAGAGCTTATTGTGGTTTGATTTATTGCTTCTCCCCGAGTTACTTCAATGCCAAGAGCAAATGGCTTCCTCCCCATTACTGAAAGATCATTTGAGAGAAACCTGGGGAAGAGCAGTTAGGTTGGCCATCTCCAGTAGCCAGCTAAACCACAGCCAGAGCTGGTTATGGGATTGCTTGGATGTTTAAAGTCAGCTGCCAGGAAAGATTTGGGGAAAATGGCTCATATTGTGGGAATGAGGCAGACCACTGAGCAGGTGAAGTGTGTCCATGGCAGGGAAGGGCACTCCGTCCTCTCACTGCCCGGCCACCAAATGCTGAGGAACTGGAGGAAGATTGCGCCACTGCAAAATAAGGGGGATCGTGGCAGCTGACCTGCCCGGTGGCCGAGGAGGGATCGGTGAGTCTCAGACCTCAGCGTGTAACCTCAAACTCCTCTCTTGCCTGCCGGGGAGCCAAGACATACGCCGTCTTCTGCACAGATAAAGCTGCTTTACACGCTTCAACCGTCGCAGGAGAGCCACGTCCAGGGCGAGCTCTGCATCCCGGCTCCTGTTTCGGAACCACATCCTTCCTCTCAGTCCATTGGGTTGATCCAAGGATGATCCTGGTTCAGGCTGCAACAGCCTTAGGGGTGAGGTTTTGCTGCTCCTTTGCTGACGCTGGGGAGAGGATCCCCCCCATCTCTGATCGATACCTAAGAAACCTCTTTAGTTCCTGATAAGGAACCAAAAGAAATGTATCCATTCAAGCTTTCCAATTAGGCTTTTCCTATTAAACGTTTTAATGGTGGTAAGGAGTCAGTAAATAGAAATTTATCACCAAAGTGTATGTGTACATGGATATATAAACATACGTCTCCATATACTGAGACAGATATGTTGGCAAGTAGTTACTGGATAGTTGTTTCCAGTGTAAAACTTAGAATAATAATCAACTTATTAGTTAGCACATATGCAACTAACTAGCTTAGCTAGCTTGCTAACAACTAGCTAATGCTGTTCTCTGGTTTTGCTGCAAGCCTCGGAGTACATGGTATTTCTCCCAGCAGGGGCGACATGAGACTTCAATGCTAACATGTGGCCTTCTTTCTGATTTTGTTTCCTTGTACTACATAATGAGGAAAACTTAAAAATTTGAAAGGCATAAATGAAAGACATATATAAAAGCCACCCGACATTTGTTTTAATGCTGCACCATAGCCTCCTGAGAGCCAAGACCATTTTTTGGGGTTATTTTGGACAAGCCACGGGTTGATTTTTATGGTGGGTATCGGTCTCCTTTCTGCTCTTGAAGGCACACCATCCGTGCTGTCCTTGGGAAGCTCTCGGTGAAAAGATTTATTGTCCGTTGCCAGGCTGGAGCTTTCGCCTTACCCCAGAGCTGTTCTCTGCTGCAGTGCCACAAACATGGGCATTTTGCTTAAAAATAACCTGCTGGAAACAAATGAGCAAATAAAACATCCAAGTGTATGCAAATGGTTCCTGGCAGGTGTCTTTTCTGGGTACTGAAATGGCAAACTGGTCAATCTTTAAGCGCAGCTACAAAATCATAATTTTTATATATATATATTGCTCCCTTTTCCTTTGCTAAATGTACTTTTAGTTGGAAAATTCGCTTCAAGGATGTGATGTTTTGAACCTTTTAATTTTCTCCTGCACCTCAGGGTGAAGTCCACAAGTTCAGCTGCTTTACTGAGTGGGAATTAAGGAAATTGTGCCCAGCTTTGGTGTTCCCAGTAGAACACCCACATAGCCTGCGCAGGTCCTCAGCGATTCTCACCTTTTCCATCTGATGTGGAAAAAAACACCAGAGGGACGTTACTTCTATTATTCTGCTAAAAATCCCAGAAAATTTTCCCACCGGTGATCTCCTAAAATCCTGCTCCTTAGTGCCTTGGCCAGACACTTGGAACTTGAGCGTACCCAGCACTCCAGACCTTAGCAATATCATAACCAAAATTAGCACATTATTAGCACTATATATTACTATTAAATACAGGTATAGAGGAGACAGTAAAGCAAGTCAAAACTTGAAGATCAGATAAACAGCTGGGTATGCTGCAGTAGATAGAAATGTTTGCAGGTCAGTCATCATTTAGGGCTGACCATGAGATGAATCAAGTACCAGGCTGTAAGGAAATACGTTAATTTTTATTGTTAATGAATAATGTGCAGCATTTGGTACATCACAGTACTGTATAAAACAGAGGGAGCGTGCCCGGCGTTGAGGGCCTCCCTCCACCTCGCAGCAAGCTCTCCACTGGGGCTGGCAACGGGCCTGGCATCTTCAAAGTCCTGGCAGAAGGGAAAAACGAAGAGAAATCCCCCCAAAACACCGCCACGACTTTGAAAGCTGGGTCAACGCCCTCACGCAAACCGGCAGATTGTTGGAAGCCCCGGCCTGGGGTGAAGAGCTAGATTTAAGTTGGGCAGCCATGGGTGGCTGCTTCACCCCATGGGGTGCCTCTGTTTTGTTGTTTGGTTGTTTTTTTTTTTTAAGTTTTCCTTCTCAGAGCAGGAGGCACCGGCGCAGGCAGCGTGGAAATGCACCGTTGGGGGGGGGGGTGTGTGTGTGTTTAGCGGGACTTAAAACCACACACACACACGCTTTTGCGCCGGCCTCTTACAGGGTTTCACCTGCTTTTAGTGATTTATTAGTCCGTTTTGTGTTTCGGTCACTTTGGGCGGCACCGAGCCCCGGCCTCACAGGGCGGCAGCGAGACGCCGCATGCGCAGAGACAACCCCCTCCTCCCTTCCAAGGCCAGCCGGAGGGAATGGCGGGAAGTGCGCTCCGGGTGGGCGTGGCCGGAAGTGCGCAGCGCGGGCCGTGGGCGGGCGGGCGGGCGGGGGGGGGGGCCTGAGGGGGGGGGGTGTGTGTGTCTGTGGGGAGAAGGGAGGGGGCCGGGCCGGGCGGCCATTACGCGCAGCGGGAGCAGGGCCTCGCGTCCCGGTTGTTGCCACCGTTAAGGCCGGCCCCGGGGCTTCGCGGGGCCTCAGCGCGGTGGGGCTCGGCCCGGCTCCCCCCCCGCCCTCCTCCGCCCCGCCCCGGCGGGGAGCGCCGGCGCCATGGAGGAGAAAGGTTTCGCCAAGGAGCTGGATCAGTGGATCGAGCAGCTGAACGAGTGCCGGCAGCTGAGCGAGAGCCAGGTCCGCAGCCTCTGCGAGAAGGTGAGGGCGGGGACCCCTCCCCTCCGCTCTGGGGCCCCCGGGGGCTCCCCGGCCGGTTTGGCCCCGGGTCGGGGCTTGTGGTGGGCCGGGGTGGGGGGGGGCGGGCGAAGCGCACCGAAAATGTCAGGGGGGATGTGTGTGTGTGTGTGTGTGTGAGGGGGGAAGCGGGGTTGCCCCTCCTCGCTGCGAGCCCACCGTGTTCCACGCAGTGTGTCTGGCACCGGGAGCCCTCTTGCTGTGTAGCGGCGGGGTATTCCTGGCGTCAAAAATGCCACGGTGGTAGGATTCTCCTCACGCATAACCGCCCTCCGTAGTATGGTTTTTTTTTTTTTTTTTTTTTTTTTTTTTTTTTTTTTACCTTTTGGGTTTGCCTGGGTTGCAGGGGAGGCTCAGGGGCGGTGTGCGCAGGGGGGAAAAAAAAAAAAAAATCTGTGCTGTCTTTCGGGGGCCTCACGTTGCGCTTCTGCCGTGCGTCTCCTGGTGTGTGGTAGCCACGGACTAAAAAGTCAACCCTAAATCGCCGAGGCAACCTTTTGATGTCCGATGTGTAATCTAGGAAAGCAGAGGGGGATATAAGAGATAAGCTGTAGTGCCGACCTAAACAGAGGCTTACAAGCTGCTGAGGGAGACTAAAATAGAACAAGAAATGGTTGGATAAAGGACACCATCTGCTATTTTGGCCTGTGGTTTGGATAGTCCTTTGGCAAATTCCTATTTGGACTTGTTTAGTGTAGGCTGTCAAGAGCCTACCCCCCCCCCCCCCCCTTTTTTTTTTTTTCCCATCAGGAGACCAATCTTTAGACTTGTGTTGGATTTTATCTGAGAAGTTAAATACCTCTGTGTGAACACTCTCTCAGTAGTGCAATCTGTGATTAAGTTAGGATTTTCTTTGGACTTGGCAAGATGTGACAGTTAAAGAATTCAAATGGTTACAGATGTGGTAACAAAGATTATTCTTTCTATTTGCTTCTTATCTCAGTGACCAGCAGAGACCATTGCTGCGCATCAGGTGGTCCAGAGGAGCTCTCAGCTTCCTTGCCTGGATGGATTGATAATTATCAGGCACAGAGGGTGGAGTAGTTGGTTTGGTGTTCCCTTTAGCATCATATTGCTGATGGTGAACTTGGTTTTGTCACGTTATGACCCATGTGTCTTGCCCAGTTCTCTCAGAAATGGAACGTGTTTTCTGATGCCTGTTCATGGCAACACATTTTGGCCAGTGGCTAAACATCCCAGTGCCAACTTAAGAAGATGCAGCTATTTCCTTCTAACGGGTCTTTGTTAGACTACCGCAGTGATAAGATCTGAAGAGTAGAGAGGGTCCGTGCCACAACCTCATAACATGCCAGGGTGCTCGTTGGAAAGGTAGGAGCTGTTGGAGTGCTACAGGCGCAGAGACTATGCAGAGCTCTGGGTTCTGGTTTCCTGAGAGATGCTTTCACCAGGGGTCATGACGTTTAGCTAGCCCCCACCCAGTTTCTGTTTTCATTCCCCCTTTCCCTTTTTTATCCCATAAATAAGTCTGTTTGTTTTATGACTCTCTCCAGGAGCTCCCTCGGTTCTGAGGGAGTGTGGTGGGACGGACTGGTGCCGCAGCAGAGAGCATCAGCAGTGGCTTGAAGAGTAGATATATCTTCAAGAGTGAGTAAGGGCTCCTTGCGGCTCTTAGTAAAAACTTACTAGCATGATCTGTGCCCTGCTCCAATCATTGCTGGTTGGGAACTGCTGTTCTAACCAGCAAGTTGTTGCAGAACAGCATTGCCCTTCTTCTCCGGCTGTGTTGTTAATGAAAGGAGCTGTGGCTGCTGTGTTTCGAGAAGCTGGAGGACAACACCAACAGATTGTGGCTGTGCATCAGGGCTTACACAGTAAATAGAGAGAGTGGCAGCTCAGCACACCGCGCTGCAGCTGGAGGTGGAGAGGTGTTTGTCATCCAGATGACAGGTAGGAACCCTGAACCTGTGGTGCATGGCGTGAAACAAATGTCATCTGTCACAGCACCTTCTTCTTCAAGGATGCTGGTGACTGATGGAAACAATTTGGGTATGAAGTAAGTACTCTGCGATGCTCTTACTTGGCTTTTTCTTAAGCTTTTGGGGAGTGGTTGGATTACCCAGCTGGGTAGTGGAAAGGAGCTTACAAAAACCTTTGGATGTGCAGACTTGCTTTTGGTGTGAAGTAACCCTGCCAGAAAGCTGGTTGAGTTTGTTTCCTTGGGATAATATGTGGAGAAACCCTTACCAACCTTGTCTCGCTTCTTTGCACTCCCTTTTGTGTAACTGATTTCTAAGAGGCCAAGCACCTGTTGCCTCAGGTTTATGTGTGTGGAAGAGTTTGTTAGTAAAAGAAAAAATTAAAAAATAAATCAAAATAAGGGGAAAAAACCCAAAGAAACAAATTGCAGACTTGCCTGTGTGGGTCATTCTTGTTTTTAATTGTTGGCATAATGGACAATAATGAGGGAAAGATTGAACATAGCTAGGGTTGATGAGGGTATGCCAAATTATTCTGCGTGCTGAAAGTTCTTGAAATTTGCACCTGTAAAAGTCACATTCTGTCTTCACCTGCCCGGTTACAACATCATTTTGGCAACTAATCAGTCTCGTATTCTTCATGAGGTTAATAAGGATGTCATCTCAAGACAACATGAGAACACTTGTTTCCCTTTTCTGCTGGCTAACAAAATGAAATCTAGCTAAAATCTTGCGAACGTTTAAAGGATAATAGAAGGACAAACCATTATGATTACTGCTAGAGCTTGTAGATGTGGGAAATGTTCCAGCGTGTTGGGGAAATCCACGTTGGATGTCTTGCATCTCGTACTACTTCTCTTAACATCATGGTCTTAGACACTCTTTATGGCAGAAGGCTGTTAAAACCTGTTTCCGCTCTCATTAAATAGGCAGTAAAAGTCTAGAGTTTTGCCTTGGATTATGTCTGCAGTTCATCGGAGGTGCCGTGGCAGCTCTCTGGGCTGGTGCTAGCTATATGGAATTGTTAACTCGGGTACTGCTAGCAGGGTAGTGCTGGCTGTATGGAACTGCCTTTAACTTGCACAGCTTGAAACCTGTGTTTCAGGCAGCTGAAGTCAAGCTGAAAGGCCAACAAGTTGGATTCATTTAATAGGAAGCAGTCCTAAGTTTGGACGTGGCAATCTCTGAAATTTTAAAGTTCAAGTCAGGTCAGCAAATCAATTCTGGTGCAGGCGAGGAAGTTGAGAGCCATCCTCCTTATCCCAGGGAAAAGGGTTTTTCACCAAGATAATTAAATGGGATATGAAAGAAGGCATGTAAAAGGCTGTCTCTTAAATTAAGCACAGGCAAGCAACCATCCATAATCGTCTCTTTTTGTACCTTCTTTTTTCTCTCTTTGTTCTTTGGATGTGTGAGAAGGGTTACAGTCTTGTTGCTGTGAGCAGCTTGAGATCTGTTTGTTGTGAAGTGGTGGGAGGAGAAGAATTCTTATCGCTAATGAAGACTTGTATTTCTTGTACAGTTATTGAATGGTAATTGTAATCTGACTCTTCAAACCAAGGAGCAGGAGCCAGTTGATGCTGTAGGGAGTATTGCTGTTACTGGCGCGTACCTGTGATGCTTCCGCCCTCCGAGATCATTTCACCTAAGAATAACTTTAGGAGAACGAGTTAGCAAGCTCTCCTGAACTAATTGGTGAAATTAGTATGAGTGGTGGAGCCAAGTAGCATCCTGGATGCTGTTCAAACCATTAAATTCTGAGTGTTGTGTTGAGTCATGGCCAGGAATATTTCTCTCCAGTGATGACACTCATCCCAGGGTATGCTGGCCCAGGTTCCGCTAGAAGCACGTGTGCACCTTGACAGTCCCCATCACTCTTGAGGCTCCAGGATGTCCTCTGCTGCCTTGTTGGTGAAGGGCAGAACTGCTCCATCCCTCTGTCTTCCATTTCATTTGGGGAGAATCTAGCTGGTTCTTGTCCAGGCCAAGCTGCTTGAGATTCGAATATCCTCAGCATACTTGTTGACATAGTAGTTTAGTCTGCCGTAGCTGATGGAATGATGGTTCAGTTGAATTTTCATCAGAAACTCTGTGGTTGACTTCTTTGATTCCTGAAGTAAGAGAGCCTCTGTGGGTCAAACTGAGCTCGGGGTGCAGTAAATGAATCTTCCAGAAAGAGTTGAGTTGCTGTGCTCTCAAAGGATCTTGTATGCAAAGCAGGTGCTTGGGGTCTTCGGCTTTCTCTAGAGAAAGCACAGTGCTGAAAATCTGCCTCCTGGTTGGGTCGTAATCCCCTCACCCGTGGAATTGGCCTAGACAATTATCACAGGCAAATCTGAACAGCATAATAGTTGATGTGGATTTGATTAAGTCTCTCGCAGAGGGATTAGTCTCCCGGTGATCCTGACGGTAGTCTCAAAGCCGGTGTAACATCTCAGGTTTCGGAGTGGCGTGTTGATGGGTTGTGTTCAAGCCCTGAGACTGCTTGGTTTCCTCTTGTGAGGACAGTGCAGTAGATCAGTGGGATGTGCATTCCCCAGCCTCTTTCTGTGAAGACTGGAGGACTGGACAAAAGATAAGCTCGTGTTGCAGTCTACAGAATCTAAAACTGGGAAAGAGAAGGGAGTTGAGGTGATGGGCAAGCTCACAGCCAACAGTCTATTCTTCAAAGTAATTTTGAGCCCAGGCATGGTAACTGTTGTGCTTAACGGAGGTTTATTTAATAAAAATACTTAAAAGCTGCTTCTGTGTATTCTGACCTGGATATGGTTTTCATTCAAAGCAATTGGGATACATGCTTAGGAAGCTGATAACATCAGTCACCATTTTCTGAAAACAAAGGTAGCTAAAATATGACTTTAAGTCATAGTTATTTAACGGCCTTCTTAAGTAAGTACATGACAATAATGCAGGGCAGCTTACTCGCATCAGAGTTTTTTTATCCTTGTTTTGTAATGGTGCTTTTTTTTTATTTTAAGTCATTTAATTTCAGCGTTAGCTCTGCACAGTGAAATGTGCGAGCAGAGCGCACTGCTTAGTCGCTGCTTTTCTGGGGTGTGTTTAATTATTTTAAAGGTCTTGTTCTGCATTAGAAAGCCACGTGAAAGCAAACTTCTATAGCTCAGCTCCCAAGCCTGATTTGAACCAGCTCTGCAGTGTTAAATCGACAGACTTAATCTATTAATGTGCATATATGTTCATCTAGATACGCATCTAAAATATGCTACATAGTAACATCTGGTAGGCAGCTTAAGAAGCTGCTGTTCTTCAGCTGCTAGCTCTTCCTTTCTCATGAGGGGAGACGTCTAGGTTCTCCTGGTACCAAAATTTCAGGACTTGGGCTGGCCCATCTTCCTAGGATGCATTTAACATGAGTATGTTTGCCCTATTACTGTACAAAAGGAGCTCTTCTCTGCAGCCTGTGCTGCTTTACCTGTGCATGTTCTCAGGATGCGTGCACGGGTTTTCTGGGCAGACCGTAAGAGTGGAGAGTGTTGATGTGACTGAGACACTGGTAAGTATGTATAGTATCTGTACAGTGCCCCAGAGGCTTGAAGTAAGTATATTTATTTTTACACGTCTGGGAAGGGAGCGGTGTGTATGATAAAAAAGGCAGAAAATACCTTGCACCTTTTGTGGTTAGGTTAGCTCCAGCTTACACCGAAACCCTGTCTGTTGCTTTGTGCAACAGTCAGAACACACTGAGCAGCTGTTTTGTGGCTGTGTTTTGTATTTGCCTCTCACAGAGGGCAGGAGCTCTCAAAAGGTGCTATAGATGCTTTTAAACACAATTGTAGTGCTACTGTTGCACTCAGAGACGCAACACGTTCAGCACTTCCCAGTCAGTTCAGAACTGCAAGGTAGACCCCACGTCATCGAGTCCACGTGCAGGACGTGTCTGTGAGGAGCAGGGTCACATCCCTCAGGTTACGTACCGTGCAGGGGGCACGCTGGACGCTGTCCAAGCCCTTGACTGCTTGGGTTTTAGTTATTCTTCCTGAATATGCACTTTTCCTAAACGAGGCCAGGCAACTAACTTTTGGATGTGAAGACAGGCGTCTTGGGGGAGCCCACCGAGGATGTCCTCAGTAAGCAGCTTCTTCCTAGCAGCTGCAGGTGGGAGCCGCATCATCCCGAGCTAAGGGACTTGGCAAAGAATAGCCAGATCATGGCCTGCTGGTGGCTCTTCAGCGCAGCTGATCTTTTATCCCTTTTGTCCAGATCGGACCGAGCCTATCTGTGAGTGTTCTCTGTGCCTCAGATGTGCCTGGAGCGCTGACCTGCATCAGTTGATAAGCTGGAGGTAGCAAAACAAGCGTGATATTTGGTAATGATAATAAGGTAATGCAGATAGGCTACATTACATGGCTGTAATTAGCAGAGGAACTGCTGGGTGTAGAGGAAGGGATGACTAAATACAGGGATGCTGTCCCTCCATCTGTGGTCATTTTGTTGCCAGCTGGGTACAGCCAGGGAAGCTGGTTGTGGCTCCGTATGTTTAAATTGCCTCTGACTTTGCTTTTCCAGTTGTATGTGACCTGCCTTTAGAAGCTGTTAAACTGTTGTGCTTGGAAGAGGATTGGAAATGTGGCAGGCAAAAAGTGCCCTGTGTGAGAGAAGTGCCTCTCACATATGCCGTGATGTTCTGTGCCAGGTTAGTAAAGCGAACCTTAGGAGTACTTGTTTTCCTCGGTAGCTTACAAGAGGAAGAAGTCTGCCCCTCTGCAAGGGAAATGGATTTGTCAGTATCCATGTGTTCTGGGAGCGTGTGGAGAAGGTTCCCTTTCCTGCCATACGGTTCCAGTTGTCTCGTACTCGCCGCGCTGCAGTCTGAAAGCGTGGTGCCTCCAGAGAGCTGGGGCAGCCCCGGCACTGGCGCTCATGTTGGTTGTTGTTTGGCAGAGTAACACGGCTCGGCTCATCTGGTGCCGTACCGGTTGCCCAGCATTTCTGCCAGATGAGCTGCTTGATCACGTGCAGCCTTCCTTAACATCATCTCTGCTCAGCGATCACGCAATGAGCTGCCTTTGTTGAGAGGGAACGAACATGCTGTTCTCGGTGCCATTTCCACGGCACTGACCCAATGCTGCAAAATCCTGGTCTTGGGAGAGCACTTGAGGTTTATGGGTGTGCGGCGAAGGGGGGAAGCCTGAGCGATCCCAGAGGAGGAAGGCAGCGAGGAATCGCTGTCGGTGCTGGCAGGAGAGTTGTTCCAGCCTGCTGCGGTGTTGCCAGTGGAGGTGGCAGGGCAAATGGTTCCACGTGGCTGCGTGGGATTGAGAGCAATCCCTTGAGCAACTGAGACAGTAGAGTACAACGTGGCAGGAGGGAGTCTGCGTGCAAGTGCGTTGTTGCAAGTCAGGTCATTTCTGTCAGAAGTCTAGGAGGCCATAGTTTTTCTACTAGTGTAAGTATCAAATAATATCTGGCTTTGTGTGCTTTTGCAAATCAAGTTGCTAAAAAAAGATGTAATAGTTGCTTGAGTGGCACGCTCTATCTCCTTGGGAATTGCTACCCTTACAGCAGGCAACAAGAGTATTGACTAATCTCTGTTCATATGAGTTTCGCACTGAGCTCTTGCTGACAGGACATGGGATGGCTTGCAATACCGAGGGGACAGCTGTGGTTCTTGAGGTAAAAGCTTCTAGGTATCATGAAACTGAATAGCACTTGGCTTTGGCAGTCAGGGTGCTGAGTGCTGCGGTAGTTCACGTAGCTGAGATGAACAGACCTGAGCTGTGTTGAACAAGTAGATGGAGAAATCTATCAAAACCCGTGTGTTTTAAAAAAAAATAATTCAGTTATGCGTTAGAAGATAATGTCCGCCTGTGATGCTAATGAAGCTTACTGGAATAGGGTTTCATCTCATCTGCCCTTGAGAAATGTTTGAAAGAAGCACAGGATTCCTGGGTGAACCCCAGCGGTGATGGAATTTGTATATCCAGTGCAAGTCTTGAAGTTCACATTGCTTCATTTCAGGGGAAGCTTTGAATTAACTTTTAGTTACTACTTTTAATTTGTTTGTCAGTGCTTGTGGTACAATAAAGGGGTTAATGACCTGACCTCACAGTAGCAAACCTGCTTGTCTTTGTGCACAGGGATTTGTGAAGTGCACTTTGTCTTTGCTTACCCAACAAACTGTTTTTTCCAGTGGTCACCTTGAACTACTGGAGTAAAACCAGTTTTTCAGTGTGAACGCAGTGGAATAACATCTGTACCTGCTTATGGAGGAACTTCTTACCTTGTTGTCCTAAATGTGTTTTTCTTGCTAGGCTAAGGAAATCCTTACGAAAGAATCAAATGTACAAGAGGTACGTTGCCCCGTCACTGTCTGTGGGGATGTCCACGGTCAATTCCACGACCTTATGGAACTCTTTAGAATTGGTGGAAAATCACCAGACACAAATTACCTGTTCATGGGAGACTACGTGGACAGAGGCTATTACTCGGTGGAAACGGTGACTCTTCTAGTAGCGTTGAAGGTATGGTTTGACAGCTTTTCTGCAGCAGCCTTGGGCAAAACCCGTGCTCTCTGGGGGGTTTTGAAAGAATTGCTCTTCCCAGTGATGCTGCCATTGGCTTGAGCCAGACGGTTGTAAACTGAAATCTGTTAATGGCCACGTGCTATCGTGTAACAGAGCTGAATGCTTGGCTGCTGTTTGAAATACTCTGGTACTGTTTCTTTCCACATTCATGATACAAGTCTCGTGTTAAAGAAAAGTTTTCTTTGTCAATAGGTGCGTTACCCAGAACGCATTACAATACTGAGGGGCAATCATGAAAGCAGACAAATTACACAAGTGTATGGCTTTTATGACGAATGTCTGCGAAAGTATGGCAACGCCAATGTCTGGAAGTATTTCACAGATCTGTTTGATTATCTTCCGCTTACAGCTCTAGTAGATGGCCAGGTAAGCCTTGAATAAAGAAAATGCTCCATTTCATGAAGTTATGAAGACTGTACTATCTGTCCTGTAAATGAAGATTTTCAACGAAGCTCCCTTGGCTCGTGATCCAAATTTTTTTTAAAGCCCATGTACTTACTGTGGGTTTGGGGAAGAATTTAGTGGGGTGTTAATACAAGTTGACGGTGTGGGAAGGCTTTTGATTCTGCTGCAGAAGGAATGGCAGGTTATTGCGTGTATGGTTCATTTTAAATGACTGCTGAACAAGTGGGGGATCCCCTTGTGATACATTAGATGCAAGTTGAGTTTTGGCCGTGAGGCATGATGTCCTTAAAATGGAAGGCATGGTATCTTTGCTGTTGTTCTGATCTCTCTGTGCAAGGTGCAGCCTTTTAGTTTTGTTCCCTTGGGCGGGAATTAAATTTGATTTCCCTGCTGCGAGCGTGAGATGGCTGTAATAGTAAAAGAATGATAACAGAGTTAAAACCAGCTATTTCTGCGATCGGTCTTCCTATAACAATATGCACTGAACGGAATGCTCTTTTTTTCCGGAACAGATATTCTGTCTCCACGGTGGCCTCTCTCCATCCATAGATACACTGGATCATATCAGGGCTCTGGACCGCCTGCAGGAAGTTCCACATGAGGTAACAGGAAAGCAAATGCATTGTAAACGTAGATATCTGTTGGTGGAAAATGCAGTTTCACATTGAAATCCATTTAAGCAGTGCGACACGCGGTTACACAGCAGACTATTGCCTTTCCAACAGTTTGAGCAGGTGAACGTGCATTTGGGGAAAACACAAGTCAACATGCTTTGATGACAGCAATCTACAGAAGGAGAGCTATGGGGTTTTCACAGCTGTTTTTCACAGAATCGCGGGATTTTTTGTCTGTCACACTGACTCCAAAAAATAGTATTTTGCAGGGGAGGGTGTTTACTGCCTTCAGCCTCACCACAGACTTGCTTGTGAACAGACAGCTGCCACGTTGAGACCATGTTGTGTCACCTTCTTTACTCCCCAGCCAATCCTTTCTTCTGTGGCGGGTCACCTTGTTCATCACTTTGTGGGGGCCTGAGAGCAGGACTGAAGAAACCGCCTTCTGAGCTCCCAGGGTAGTAAAAGGCTCTTCTGTGTTGGAGTGGCTGGGGTTCACAAATGGACTTGAAGGTTCCCTGATTAAGACGAGCTGCTTGTCCTACAGCCTCTTTGGTTTAACGGGAAGAACAATGCAGCGCGGTCTGCCAAAGCCTTCCAAAAACCTGAAATGAGCTGTGTAAATTGCTCCCAGAATTGGGGAACTAGCTGGGATGTCTACCCGTAGCTAGGTGTCATGATGATATTGTTGCTCTGGGGTTTTCCCACTCCTGTGCTGCGTATCCATATGCTGAAATCTGGCTGTCCTGAGGATCTCCACATGCAGTCAGTGCCATCTCTACCCCAGAGCTCAGGTCGGCGGGTAGGAAACAGCCACAGGCTTGGATAAATACCGGAGTGTCTTTGCTGCCCCTTAGTAGCTCAGCAAGAAAAGCCGCTGAGCTTCATATGTGACGGTCGGAAGATGTACACTGGGGATATTTTTGAATATGTCAAGTCCAGCAATGGGCTGTTTAGGAGAGGAGGTTAAATACCCTGCCAGAAGGGCAGCTGGAGGCTTAGTGTCAATCTCTGCAACTGTTACTTCATAGTCTCCTACAGGTTGTTTCTCTTCCTTTAATTCATTGTGACTTGGCTGGCACCAGCGAACCCATTATGTATCCTTGGACCTGCGTACCGGCTCACGTGGCCTTTTTTTATTATACTGGGAGAGTCAAGAGTAAGGATGTGGATCTGCTCTCCGTGTTTTTGCGTGTCTGACTGGTTGAAGTGGTAAATGTATGTGTGAAAGAGGAGGTGGGAACCGTTTTCTGGTTACGTGGAGTCCTTTCTCAGTCAGCTGTGTATGTATTAATTTCTTTGGGAAGGGTGCTGACTGATAAAATGAGTAACTAGGCGATACTGTGTGTGTTAAATAAACTCATGTGCCTTGTGCAGAGCAGGACATGCTGTCAGTCTTCTTACTGTAAATAAAGTATATTCTGAAAGTGGCTTTTTATAACAATCTTGCTAGTGATCTAATGAAGAACACTTAATCTTTTTCAAGGGTCCTATGTGTGATCTGTTATGGTCGGATCCAGATGATCGTGGTGGCTGGGGTATATCTCCACGTGGTGCTGGCTACACGTTTGGGCAAGATATTTCTGAAACATTTAACCATGCCAATGGTCTCACACTGGTCTCCCGTGCTCACCAACTTGTCATGGAGGTAGGGCAAGCACTCTGCTAGATGGGGCTAACAAAACATAGACCTGCTGCTGATGGGTTTGCATAAGCTGACACCTAAACGTTACGTAGGTAAATCCAAAGAGGGACTTTATTTGTGTGAAAACAACGAGCAACCTAGAACGATATGCTTTGACCTGTGATGTAAATAAGGGGATGTTCTGCCTCCCTCCCCACCCTCAACTAAGTTGCCAGAGGAACCCTGTCACACCCTATTTGTGGATCTAATAATCTCCTTACACGCCGATCACTCTACTTAAACTGCTGCTGCGTTGAGCAGGCTGTCCTGTAATACTCGGCAGTCAGATGTGACAGGCATTAAGCCATAATTTTGGCTGTCGATAGGCTATTCTTGTGTGTCTCGCTGGAAAAATGCCAGGTGGGTCATTGGAGCAGATGTATTTTTAAAATCTAGTTCAGGTAGATCCCTTCAGTAGTACTGTGCATCAGAAGTTGCTCACATCCAGCAGGCAAACTCTCAGTTGTGGTGGATGAAAGTTGAAGGCATACCTGAAAATCTCGAGGTTTCTTTGTGCTGCAATCCATGATTTGTACGCAAAAACGGTTAAACGCGTGAGTGACAAATGGCTGATCTCTGTGTAGAGTGGTTGAAGCAGTTTTTGCTGGGTAACTACCTCTCGCTCTTGCGGTAGAGTACTTCTTCTAGAAGGAAACGAAGTCAGTTGGAAATACTTACGAGAAGTCTACAGTTTCACAAATGCCTTGGATCATTTCAGGCCTGAAGAGGAACTTCAGATGGGCTGAGGTTTGAGGCTTAACAGAGACCTTTTTTTTCCTCTTTTTTTTTTCTGGCAGGGTTATAATTGGTGCCACGACCGAAATGTGGTTACCATTTTCAGTGCGCCCAATTACTGTTACCGTTGTGGGAACCAGGCTGCTATCATGGAACTAGATGACACTTTAAAATATTCCTTGTGAGTAACCTGGCACGGGCTGTTCCCTCTCCCTAACTGTGCTGCACTGTGGGGAATGTCTGATCCTTTCCAAAGAGGTCTTTTTGTGAAAAGCTGGCTCAAACCACTCTGGAATTAGCGTTGTGTGCTCTACCTGCAAGAGTACCTAAAAATAAGTAGTGAGTTAAGCTCCTAAAAGCTTCTCTTGGGTACTGCATTATCTCCTCTTCCTGGCTGTCTGGAGAGTTGCTACTTCTGCATTTTCTTAATCCCTCTGTTGCCCAAGCTTGTTGGAGAGAGTAAAGACAGATTGATTGACATATTTATTTTCATTTTTGGTGGCGCTAGGCTTTGTAAAGATGGGTGAGGGAGCCTGAATTTTGCGTTCAGCTGAGCTCACGTGCAGGGAGCGATGAGCTGCTGAAGTGCTGACTGCTGGGTCGTTGTCACTCTGTAAACAAATTCTTGTTTTGCGACCTGGAACATTTTATGTGGGAGCAGCTGGGATGGGTAAAGCAGTAGCAGGTGGAGAGCAAGTCTAGTATTTATTGTGGCGTTGGGAAATACCTTGTGGAGGGGGTGGAAAATGATCCCTTTTTCTTTCCTGCAGCCTCCAGTTTGACCCAGCACCTCGTCGTGGAGAGCCTCATGTTACCCGTCGTACCCCAGACTACTTCCTATAAACCTCTCCTAACCTTTGTAGAAGGAAGTACACCTGGCGTTTTAAAGAGCAACAATATTTACACGTTTCTGTAAGAAATCAGGGTTCGTCTCAACTTTAAAATCCCCATCATGGACCAAAATGTGCCATACAGAGGACAAAGAGCGTTCAGCACAACTTGAGACTGAATTCCTTACAACACTATATATATATAAATATGTATCTCCTATACCCATCAGTCCAACGGTCAGTTTGCCTGCTGTATTTGTAGTCATTGTTTTTCTTCTGGACTGTTCAGAGAGGAAAAGGTAACTCTAATAACACTTCCATCTCCTTTGATGCTTCTTTGTAAATTTTTAGTTCTAGTGTTCAACTGGCATGAAGTAGGGTTTATTTCCGAGGGAAATGCACACCGCTCTTTTATTTTATTGAAAGACCGATCGACTTAACTGGAGAGAGGAGGCAATTCCTGCTTGGGAGTACGTTGTCATAACACGGATAAAAAGCGTTCCCTTGTTAGCCCGGTTCCCCCATCTGTGTTGGTCCCGCATATGATTTTTTTTTTATTTGTTTGTTTGTTTGTTTGTTTTCCTTTTCTTCCGTTCTTTTCCCTCTCCCCTCTGTATATTTGTCCTGGAAGTGCTTGCAAACCCTCCTCGCTGTACCCGAACCAATAAACTCGCCATGGTCAGCCCCAACCCCCGGTGTTGTGGTTGGGGGAGGGGCGGGGCGGGGCGGGGAGGGGAGGGGCGGGGCGGGGAGGGGCGGGGAGGGGCGGGGAGGGGCGGGGCGGGGAGGGGCGGGGCGGGGAGGGGCGGGGCGGGGCGGAGCAGGGAGGGGCGGGGCGGGGCGGGGCGGGGCGGGGCGGCCCCCCCAGCCCTCGGCCATGGCGGCGGCCGCCGCGTACGAGCTGCTGGTGCTGGGCGCGGGGTCGGGGGGGCTGGCGGGGGCCCGCCGGGCAGCGGAGCTGGGAGCCCACGTCGCCTTGGTGGAACCCAGCCGCTTCGGGGGCACCTGCGTGAGTCCCGGGGGGGGGGGGTACCCACGCCGCGCGGGGGGTGTGGGGGGTGTGGTGTGGTGTGTGTGGACCCCCCGGGCTCACCCCAGTCCCCCCCCCCCCCCCCCCCAATTCCTACGGCGCCATCCCAGCCTGGCGCAAGGACTTGCCTTGTCAGGCCGAGCTCGGTGGAAGCGGGAAGGCTCCGATTCCCCTCTCCCCTGGGGGGGTGCTGGCGTGTTTTGTCTGTTTTCAGGCTGGTGGGAGGGTGCCGCTGAGTCCCGGGTCAGTGCAGCAAGAGGGTTAACTCAGTTACCCCCGCAAAGCAGAGCCCGCGGGCACGGCGAGCCGGTGGCAAGCAATAAAACCAACTTGTTCCTCAAACAAGCCGGGGACAGGCTCTGGCTCTACAGTTCAAGTGCTTTTCCCCGAAAGAGTTGCCGTGCTAACACTGGAAGTGCAGGAAAGGGATGGCAGATGCTTTTCTCCTAGAAAATCTCTTTTTAATTATTAATGAAAAAAAAAAAAAAAAACAACAAACAACCTACCCTTGCATTTGACGAATCTGCACCTTCCATATTCTTCAAGGAAGTGAAAGAAAACAGGCAAACCACAAGCCCTTTAGGCACTGACGGTGGTTACAGCTCTTTTTTTGCCAGAAACCTGTAATCCTGCCTTTATTTTCCTGGGCAGAGAGCTGGGATTTGGTACCGGCCTGACGTGGGGTGCTCTCCAGAGCATCACCTTCAAAAAATTAAGCCTTAACACTGAGATTTGCTCTTATTTCCTCCCAGGTCAATGTTGGGTGCGTGCCAAAGAAGGTAAGGGTGCTTTCACTCCCTGACCGTGGGTTAGGTCTGGTGGGGGGGGGCTCTGAGCCATCAAAATGCCACGAAGGGCTCAGACCCGTGTCCCGTGGGCTGCTCCGGGCAGAGGCGAGGTATCAAGAAGCACAGAACTTTTTCTGTTTGTTTGTTTGTTTGTTTCCTTCCCCCCCCCCCCCCCCCCCCCCCCCCAAATCAAACCGATCTTCCCGAGCCGATTCTTGCGGTTTGTGCGGGCAGGTGATGTGGAACGCAGCGGCCCATGCCGAGTTCGCCCACGATCACGCCGACTACGGCTTCGAAACGCCCGGCGTCAAGTTCAACTGGAGGTAAGCGTGGAAAGAGCCGCCGGGGAGCGAACATCTCCCTGTGCGTGTCCTGTGGGGGCAGGATTCCTGACGGATCTTGGAAAAGAGGGGTGGCAAACCGGCCGCGGGAAGGCACGCGGAAAGAGGGACCCTAAAAACCTCGCGCCGGTGGGGAAGGCTGCTGCCAGCTGGGTAACTCGTGTCTGCTTTGTTTCGTGGCGTGGGTGCCACCTACCAAAGGGATCGAACTTTTCTGCGGCCGAGCTCTGCGGGCTCCTTGGCTCACGGTGAGGGTAAGCCCCCCCCGCTCTCTTGCAGAACCATTAAGGAGAAGCGCGATGCTTACGTGAGGCGCCTGAACGAGATCTATGAGAACAATTTAAAGAAGGTGAGGCTGTGTTAATTCTGCGAGCCGAGCGGGGAAGTGAGCATCTGCTGGTTTTCTGGCCGCTTTTCCAGCCTTTAATGGATGTCCTCTAACTGTGGAAACCCTGTCTCTATTAGCTGGCTCTCGCTGTTAATTGCTTAACTGTTAATCCCTTAAGGCTCGCATCGATGTCATTCGGGGCTACGGCAAGTTCACCGCCGATCCCGAGCCTACCATCGAGGTGAACAAGAAAAAGTATACAGCTCCTCACATCCTTATAGCCACGGGTGGGCACCCGGCCATCCCTCCTGACAGCGAAATTCCCGGTGAGCCTGACAAAATTCCCCGGGCTGCTTGAAGGGAGGTCTGCCAAAGCAAAGCGGGTTTGGGGAGGTGGAGGTGGGAAACGGGGGCTGCCGAGGGGTGCGAAAAGGGCTCTGCTTTGCAGGTGCCAGCCTGGGGATGACCAGCGATGGCTTCTTCGAGCTGGAGGAGCTGCCCAGGTAAAGTGGGGCTCACCCACAGCCCCCCCCCCCCCCCCCCAAAAAGCCACTGCCATCACCACCGCCGGCTCGGCGTGCCGGCACGCAGCATCGTCGCTTCTCCGCAGGCGCAGCGTTATCGTCGGTGCTGGCTACATCGCGGTGGAAATCGCGGGGATCCTTTCCACCCTGGGCTCCAAGTCATCCCTCCTGATCCGGCAGGACAAGGTAGTGCCACCGGGCTGTCCCCAGCCCAGCTTCCCACCCAGCTGCTGCCGGGGTTTTCTGGTCATCGGCTCCCGTGAGTTGGTAAAGGAGGGTGCGGGTTGGCGCAAGCTCAGGAGGGTGGAAATGGCGATGAGGTGAGGAGGGGGCTGCGGTGGGGGAAGATGGGGCGAGGTGGAGAGCGTAGGCGTGCTGCCAGGAGGATTTTGGCAGCACCAAGCCATACGCCTGGCATTTCTGCAACCGGGCGTGCCGCCACACCCGCTTCCCGTTTCCTTGAGCCTTGTTTTCAAGTCGCGACTTGAAAAACAAACAAAAAAGAATATTGAAAGGAAAAAAAACAAACAGAGGAGAACTTTACCATTTAACAAGAAGCACCCCAAACCCCTCTGAGCCAGAGTGGGGCGCGGGCGCAGGGAAATGCTGGCGGAGGGGGCTGCCAGACAGCGCCTTCGCCTACGGACCCTCCTCTGACGGGGTTGGTGGGTCCCTGCCCAGGTCCTGAGGACCTTCGACTCCATGATCAGCTCAAACTGCACCCAGGAGCTGGAGAACACCGGGGTGGACGTCTGGAAGCACACTCAGGTACGGGCACGCAGAGCAGCCCTGCGGCTTGTCCCATCCTTCCTGGAGAGGCAGGGCTGGGGGAAAGCCGGCGTGTTGGGCTGGTCCCCGGTCCTGCGGTGCGGCCGCCGTCGCCTGTTGCAAGGCAAATGCTGTCAGCGTCTTCTCTCCCCGTGGCTCCTGTTGTTCCCCCCCAGGTCAAGATGGTCGCCAAGTCCCCTCGTGGGCTGCTGGATGTGACGGTGACCTCCTCGGCGCCTGGCCACAAGCCGACGGAGGGAGTGATCCGGGATGTGGACTGCCTGCTGTGGGCCGTGGGGCGGGAGCCCAACACCAAGGAGCTGTGCCTGGACCGAGTGGTGAGATGGCAGCACGTCCCTTCCACGGTGGTTTGAGGATGCCTGGGGGGTCTCCAGGAGTCCCACAGATCTCTGGAGCCTGCCGCAGGATGGTGTTCCCACCATGCCCCCTACCAGCTGGGAACAGGGCGGCCACCGGCACGGGTCCCCCAGGGGCTTTGGGGGATCCCATCTCTCCCGGGACGCGTGCCGAGGCGGCTGCCCGTTTCCCATGGCAGGGCGTGCAAGTGGATGCCAAGGGCCACGTGGTGGTGGATGAATACCAGAACACCACCAGGAAAGGGGTCTACGCCGTCGGGGACGTCTGCGGGAGAGCTCTCCTCACCCCAGGTACCCTGGCCGTGCAGCCCTCCCCTCCCCAGCCCCTCGGTGCCGCGCCGTGCCGCCGCTCAGGCTCCACATCCCTCCCCGCAGTGGCCATCGCGGCTGGCAGAAAGCTGGCCCACAGGCTCTTCGAGGGCAAGCAGGACTCCCGGCTGGACTACTGTAACATCCCCACCGTCGTCTTCAGCCACCCGCCCATCGGCACTGTGGGCCTCACTGAAGGTGGGTGAGGAGGCTGGGGACGTTGTGGCTCAGAGCTGCGGGTTTGGTGCTCAAGGGAACGATCCGATCTCCGTCAAGGGGTCTGGGCCTTGCAAAACGTGCTTTGACTCCTCCTTTATGCCTCGACCCACGTGCCGTGTCTTCTGCTGCAGATGAAGCCGTGGCGGCGCACGGGAGGGAGAACGTGAAGATCTACAGCACGTCCTTCACCCCCTTGTACCACGCTGTCACCCAGAGGAAGGTTAAGTGCGTCATGAAGCTGGTGTGCGCTGGCAAGGAGGAGAAGGTGCGTGGAGGGGACTTGGGGGGGACAGCTGGGTGCTGCAGGGGGGGTGGCAGAGACTGTGGCTGGCTGTCATCTTGCCCCCGCATAGTCGGCTCTGACCTGTTCAGACCAGCTCTTGGGCTGGGATCCAGCTCCCCCGGCACCAAGCCCAGTGTTCAGACGGGATTTCGCCAGTGCTGGGTCCCATCCGGCCTCTTGCTTCTTCCCCAAAGGTGGTGGGATTGCACATGCAAGGGCTGGGCTGCGACGAAATGCTGCAGGGCTTTGCCGTGGCCGTCAAAATGGGGGCCACCAAAGCCGACCTGGACAACACCGTTGCCATTCACCCCACTTCTGCTGAAGAGCTGGTGACGCTGCGCTGAGGCGGTGGGCGCAGGCAGCCCCAGGGACGGCAGCTGCAGCTGGGGAAAGATGTTTTCTATGTCTTCAAAAATGCCTTAACGTCAGGCGGTTGCTTGGAGAGAGTGTCTTTAAAATCAGCGTGGCTTGCTTTGGGGCAGGAAAAAAATACAGAGATGCTGGCAGGCCTCTGCCTTTTGCTTTATGGTGCCTGTCACCCACTGTGCCCCACTGCCGAGGGTGGTGGCACGGGCCCTTGTCGTGGTTTGGGGGAAAGCTGCCGGTGGCCAGGCTCCTTCTCTACCATCCGTGACGCCAGGGCTGCGCGGGGCAGGACAGTTGGGTGCTGGGGGTACTCGTGGGTGCTGGAGTAGCCCGGGCGGGCTCTGTCCTCCGCCGCAGGCTTGCGGAGGGGGTGCATCAGCTGCATCCCAGGGACTCCCAGATCCCTGCCACTGCCCCATCGCTGTCGGCCCTTCGTGGCCGCGGCTCTCAAGCTCTCAAAGCTCAAGGCAGCTGGAAGCAGCCGAGGGCAAAACTGGGCCGAGAGCCCTGGGGCACAGCACCGGTGCTGGCTGATGAACTGCTGGCTTTGGCTTTGCTTTTGCTAGAAATAAATAGTTTGCGGGAAATCAAAGTATCTCTGAGGTCGAAAAGTCCCTGCCAGGGAAGGAGGAGGCTGGTGCTGGGCTGGGGCATCGCCATCCCGGACAGCCAAAGCGCAGCAGGCAGGAAAACCCCATCAGCATGTGTTTAAAGAGTGTATCGGACTTGTAGGGACTCCAGAACAAGCAAGAGCCCCAATATCACTGGTATTCACAGTTATCCATGTTAGGCTTTGAAAGAATACTGGTTTGCAAGGCTCATCGCTAACTGAAGCCCACAAGATTTCCTCTGGGCTTGCTACAGATCCTCAGGCCCATTAGAGGAGTCATTTTGAGTTAATTCATAGTTAATGGCTCCATCTGAATTAGAGTGACTTTACCCTCTCAGTCAATACGCTGTACTGGCATTTTGTCAGTAGTTTTTCTTTTTTTGTTTTAAATTACAATTTTGGTCGCTTGATTTTAAGACATATTTTAGAATATTTGTGAGATTTGTCTTGTACTTCATAGCCAGAGAAAGTATCAGTGTCTAAAAAAAGAAAGGCAGGGGCTGGGTGTAGGCAGAAGGCTCCTTTTTGGAGGAAATTGGGGGGAAAAAAAAAAAAATAACAGAGGAAAGCTGTTCCCCAGGGCATCCGCGGGAGATCACATCCCCTGGGGTCAGGACCTGGGAGGGGACGGAGAGGAGCGACACTTGTGCTGCCCGAACACCGGGGCTGCCGGTCTGAGGGCTGGAAGGGGCCGAGAGGAGTTGGGGAGTGGGGTGTCCCCCGGGCAGGGATGCTCTGGAGCGGGGAGCCCCGGGTATGGAGGGGGAAGGGGGACTCGGAGAGCCCCCGGTCCGCCCTGCTCTCGGGGAAACCCAGAAGCCCCGAGCGGGTCTGGGAGCGGTGAGCCTGACTTAGCCGGGGGGGCAAACGGGGACCGAGCACCGGGTCTCCTCCCGCCCCGGCCTCGGTGCTACCGGGGGGCGGGCGGGCGCTAGGACCCAGCAGCCGAGGGAGCGCCCCGCATCGCTGACCACGCCCCGTTCCGTAGTCACGGCTCCGCATCACGCCCCCCCGGCGAGACGGGGCCGCAGTGCGCCTGCGCGGGGCGGGGCCAGGGGGAGGCCCGGCTCCCGGCGGCCGCCATCTTGGCGGCCTGTCCTATCCCGGCGGCGCCGGGAGCGGAGCTCCGGAACGGCGGCGGCCGCGGCGGCCCGGCCCGGCCCGGCCCGGCCCGGGTGAGGAGGGTCGGCCGGCCGGCCGAGGGGCCGGGGCGGTTACCAGGCTGAGGGCGGGGCGGGGGGGCCGGCCCACCCGGCGCGCGGGTTTCCCCTCAGCGGGAGCGGGGCCGGGGAGCCGGGAAGGAGCCCGGGGGGAGGGGGAGCCCGGGGGGTTTTTGGGGCGCAGCGGCAGAGCCGAGGGGCTGCCCGGCTCACCGCCCGGCGCAGCGGGGGCTGCGGCCCGAAGTGCGTGTGCTCGGTCCCCGAGAGCGGAGGGGAAGTCCTGCGCCTGTTGGCCTCGGAAACGGGGCGAGCGGGTGGGTGTGGGGGGCTCCCGGGGGGGGGGGAGCGGCAGGAGCGGGCGGTGCGGGAGGGGGTGGGCGGGTGCGTGGGCCCCCCCCCCCCCCCCGAGGCGTGGGGCCGGCGTGCACCAGGCCGGGTTAAACGTCTGAGACGGACAGATGGGCTCTGGGGAGAAAGGTGCTTTGCGGGGGGTCGGGGGGTGCCCGACCACCCACTCGTGACTGAACAATAAACTCGCTGGTCACCGTGTGTGCGGTTGTGACAGTTCATGTTCCTCGGCAAGTTGTGACAGCGGTTGATTTGCGACCGTGGCCAAAGGCGAGTTCGTTTAACCAAGCCCGAGCTGTAACGAGCTGGCGCGGAAGGGAAGAGGAGCTGGAGCTGCAGGCAAGCTGGAGCCGTCCCCAAACCGGAGCGGGACCGGGAGCAAACGGAGCCCCAGAGGAGCCGGAGCCGCTCATGAGCTGGGCCTGAAACCGGAGCAGGAGCAGCGGTGCAGACACAGACCGGGGCAGAACCGGAGCCTGAGCCGAGCCGAAGCCCTGGAGCTGAGCCGGGCCCGAAGCCCGCGCAGCGCTCTGTCCGTCCGTCCCCGCGCAGGGAGAGGCGGGGGGCAGCCGGGGTCCCTCCCGGGGCCCCGCAGGCGGCGGGCGGGGCCCGGGGCCGAGGGGCGGTGGGACCCGGCGGGCTCCGGCTCCCGCCCGTCGTGGGGCGGCGGCGCCCCCTGGCGGCTGCCGCGCTGCTTTGAAGCATCCGGGGCGAGTGACCGCGAGAGGCGGGAGGGGGGCGTGACCGGGAACGGGCGCGTGGGCGGGGCCACAGCGCGACTGCGGCGGCCGCGGTGAGTGGGCGTGGCTTCGCGGGGCGGGGCCCGACCCGGGCGGGAGGCGGGGGAATGAGTGGGCGTGTCCCGGCGGGGCGGGGCCGAGGGGATTTGAGCACCGCCCCCCCCGGTGGTTTCCCGGTGCCGGTCCCAGCCCGAATTAAATCTCTGAGAGGGGGGGGAAAAGGCGCTTTTCAGACCCACCCCCAGAACCTCTTTGAGCTCTACCCCATTTGCTGTTTGTACGATGCCCAGAACCGTTATCATCTAATTAGCCAATATTTAATAACTAATTAGCTAATAATTATTCAGTGATGACAGTGAAGGGTTTCCAGCCTGCCAGATGCGCAGAGCACACTGAGGAGCAGAGGGTGTCACTGGCTCACGCGGAACCCGCGCGGAGCTTCCGACGTTTCTACACTTTTGGTATTTGTAAGCTAAATATTCCCAATGTATTTAGTATTAAATTTTGACAGTCAAGGAGTGGGAATGATCTGCAGCCTCGTGACAGGCTCTTTTCAGTGCTGAAGGACGAGCACGGTCTTTAATTTCTGGTATTCGTTCAGTGGTTATACAACGCTTTGAAGATTGAACTAATTAGTCAATGTCTGTAAGTATGTTATTTACTTTTTATACAATCTCAAGGTATTGCAGTACTATTCAGGCGATGACAGTGATGTACGACCTCTCAAAAGCTGAGTCTGCTGCACCCAACAGGGGCTGCAAAGCGCTGGAGGAGAAGGTGCTTCCCTGACCTGAACCACGACCTGTTCAGTGTTTATTTTCTACATTTAATAATTAGTCAGTACCAATTACTAAGCCTTCGGTCTTTGTAAACAATAGTGAGCACCGTTAAAGGACGATACTCACACTCAAAGGCTGGTAGGGATCAGTGGAGGGGGCACACGGGGTCTCCCCCACGCAGGAGGGGGGTGCAGAGCCCCGAGGGGCTCCCACCCACCCGCACCCCACACCGGGGGCTGGAGGAGAGGGGAGGCGCAGGGAAAGGACACCCCGGTCACGCTCTGCGTCGGGTTTCCGTTCTGATTTGACTCCCCGCCGCGCGGTGAGGCGGGACAGTTAGCACCCCGTGCGACAGTTCACAGCCAGCACCGCCCCAAAACGAACCTCCCGCCCCCCCAAAACGCTGAGCACCAGGGTCGCAGGTGGGTTTGCTGGAGGGTTTTGCCTCGCTCCAAGCAGCAAACCCAGGGCCGCTTGCCTCGGGTACTGAACAAGCAGCCGTTCCTTTTCTTGCTTTATTCCATGGGGAGCAGCGAGTCCCTGCTGCTCTGCCCCGGCTGCCACAGAGCCGCCCCTTCACACCGGGGGGGGGGACAGTGTCCCCACGGGAGCCCCACACGCTGCTGCGGGGGGTCCCTGGGCCCCCCTCGGGGAAGCGGCAGAGCCGGGGCGGGTGGAGAACGCGCGGCCTGTGCTGGGCCCGGAGGCGGCTCAGCCGGGAGCGGAGGTGAGCTGCAGCCACCCCTCCTCACGGGAGTATAAAAATAACAGCATAGCTTTTCTTTTTTGGATTAATATTTGTTTGTTTTTTTTTGTTTTTTTTTTTTTTTTACCATTTATAAAAAGCTTTTACCAAATGAAATCATGTACGTGCTCCGTTAAACTTCCGTCCCGTCGTACAAATTGCTGTGGACTTTGACTTCCAAGTTCACCTGCTTCACCTTCCTGCCTTTCCCCTCGCAGCTGCCCCGCGTTTCCCTCAAGACATTAACGTTCCTCACGGTGCAGTACCGGCTGTCCAGGCCCTTTTTGGCTCCCCTGGGCAGCTCTACCTTGGTGTTGAGGGGATGCTGCTCCGGGACGGCCCTGGCAGCTTCCCGCTTCCTCCGCAGCTTTCGACACTTCCCGGCGAGGAGGCAAACTCCCGCGAGCACCAGCAGCAGCAGGGCGGCGGCGGCGGCGGCGGCGCTCCCCAGGGACGCGCCCGTTTGGGAGAAGGAGGCTGCCACGGCGCCTTCCTCCCTCTCCAAGACCAGCGACTTCATGTTGGTGCCGTTCTTGACCTGGTCGCCTTCGTTGTCGTAGGTTAAGGAGTCGTCCAGCGCCAGCCGCCCCTCGCCCTCCGCCAAGTCCCTGCGCCCGCGTTGCCAGCGGCGTGCGAGGGAGCGCTGAACGCGAGGCCCCGTCCTGCCTTCTGGGCCGATTATGTAGATGACTTGAAGGTACCACTGGTGTCCGGCTTCCACCTTTATAAGAAAGAGAAGGCGTGCAGACAGGGAATTTTAACTACGGCTTCTAGACCAAGTCATTCTGTTAAGGCAGAGCCGGTTGCGTTTTCTGTCCCGTTTCTTGGCTCGCGCAAGTATCAACAAAGCAGCTCAGCGTGTTTTATTTAATATTTATCACCGAGTGAGGTGTTCAGTCTTGTCACTCTTTGGCAACTGCAATCACCAATTCAGGAATATTAATAACAGGTTTTTAAAAGAGCTTCTTTCCTGAGTGCTTTGGAAAAAAAAAACAAACACCACCAGAATAAATTCCTCATCTCCATTTTCCGTGCTGGAGCTTGCTTCTTAAACCAGCTCCGCTGTTCGTTTATGGTACGATCCCAGCAAGGCCAAGAAGCCCCTTAACAAACAGAGGTCGCTGAGTTACAGAGAAGGCTCCTCTCCGGCGAGGGACAAAAAAATCCCAGAAATCAGGATCTAAAATTCTGCCCTCCATCGAGAGCTTCC